CGTTCTGGATGAAGAATTTGCCATTGCTGCTTTGTTGTGGTGTTGAGTCATGTTGCCTGTGGCTCTGTGTTCATTGAGATGTCAGTCTGCTATGGACTTCTCTTCCTGTTCAGCCTCTCCAAATTATCCATTGCATTCTCCTTACTAGATGAGATTGGGTTGCACTTGGAGGAGCAGCTACATAAGGAGTATCATTCCTTCCTCTCCACAGCTAAAAGCAGGCAAATCTAGTCCTTTGCCATTTGTGCTACCTGTAAAACATGTGAATTGCTTCACCAATTCCATGCCATATTGCCCACATCTGTCTTTCTAATTTTGTTCCTAAAAATGAGTTGAGTTCTAGCAATGATTACAGCACTTAGAGCATATTTACTTCTTCTAAGGAGAGCATTTCTTTTACTTGGGAAATGCCATGAGAAGTGTGGTAATGGTTTTGTAATTAAATGTAATCAATACTTACACTGTAATTCTGACAAGGACATTTACTTGATCTAGAATTCAATATGGAGCAAAAGTATTTTGTCTTATTTAAAGTTTCCTACTGCTTCAATTTCTTTTTTCTTCAGTTTAAGGAACTGCGTGCTCCAAGGATACAAATTAGCCATAAAATCCATTTAATTATCTTCCTGGAAATTGCAGTCACAGAAAAAAAAAAAATACTATGCAATACAGAGTACAGATTTGAATTTTGTTTTGTCTTCTAGTAATACAGAATGATTATTCTTTCTCTCAATCAGTAACTTTAGGCAGCTTCTTTGTAGAGAATGTGTTCAATCTATTCAGATTATTAATTTCTTGACATCTGTAAGTCTTGATGTAATTGGTTGTAATTGAACATCAACACAGATACTTGCAAAGGAAGTAAGAGGTTATCCTAGATTAACCTCCTATTGCAGTGTTTCTGGGATGACCAAAGCATGTCCAATTCTCTATTTTTGTAATGGTCAAGGTGAGCAGTGTAGGACCAGAGCAGCTGTTAGGGAATACGCAGAGATGGAGTCATGACTGCAAGAAGACACGTTCTCCATATTTGCTGGTGAGAGACGTGTTCTCTTAGTGCTGTCGCTGTGCTCTACAAGACGTGCATTAGGAAGGGACCCTTTATTCCCTCTCCTGTCTGACTTCCCATGTCATCTTGAAATTACAGTTCTCCCGTTTAACACCAAGAAGTGCTAGTGTTAGCATGCTGTGCCCATATGGCAAGCAGGTTGGGAAGCTCCTTATGTTCGCTTCTTCCCGTGATTCACTGTGTCAAGGATAGCTAGACTTCTGTTGTGCTCTTATGTAACTGCCTATGTCTCTGCTCAAAGTCAAAGTATTGGCACTCATTTGGTTTGTTGGAAAACGTGGCTCTGAGAGTCAAAAGCAGAGTGATTTTTTTAAAAGAATCTTTTGTGGAAAAAAAGTACTTCCATTCATTTATGTTTCATTTTTGTACCTTTGTAGCAAACTTTCTTCCTATGATGACTTCTGTGCAGTTTTAGCAGACTGCTCCAGATGTTACGTCTTATTTTTAGCCCTACTAAACAAACACCAGAGGCAGCAGGTCAGTCTGTTCATCTCTTGATTTTTATATATTAATCCTCTGATGTGTCTGTGTATTATTGTGTGTAAGCTTGTTTTCAGTGACCTACTTTTATGCATTTACCAAATAAAAATTTTAAATGGTTGACAGCATTTCTAAGTAGTAAATAATTGAAATGAAATCATTTAGATTAAAAATTCAAAGCAATACAGAAGACAGATAGTTGATTAACTTGTCTATCCTTTGCATCTGTAGTAACAGTCCTTTCCGTACTTCATTATTTTTCTTAGTTTTAAAAGATACTTTTTAAAGCAAGTTGCAACTGAGCAACCTGATCTAGTTGGAGATATCCCTGTTCCTTGCAGGGGGGTTGGACTAGATGACCGTTGAAGGTCCCTTCCAGCCCTAACCATTCTATGATTCTATGATTCTATGATTTGAATATGTAATAATAGGAAATTGTTGGGATTTCTCCTGCCCTCCTCCCCTATAAAAGAAGTGTGAATTTTCCAGAGTTAAGTAATTTGAAAGCAGAGGAAAATTTGTTCCTTGATAACTGCGTAAGATATCAGAATGTTTCTCTCCTCTACCAGAGAAAACCATATGCCTAGAATACCGCATTTGGAACATTCACCTAGAAATAAGTGTTTAGAGTTTGTCAAAATGCCTTGTATTATGAGGTAAATTTATAAGAGTATACTTGCTATACCAGTTTTGTTAGAACTTCAAGGGTCAGGTGTTGCTGTGTTGTCCGGCTGTATCATAGTGATCTTTCCTACATGTACTGGAGCACTGGGATCTGGGATTTTGGTGCAGGATCACAGTTTTAAAAATTGCCACGTTGGTAAGAGTGGAGTGCCCCATGTATGGCAAATTACTCCATTCTATTGCCAGGTAAGATTTAAGAAGAAAATAATGTTTATGTAAAGCATAGGTATTCAAAGGTGGAGCAAGGTTTTCAAAACATAGAACATTAAATCACATTAAGATTATTCTTAGAAGTAAGGAACTTTCTTGGCTGCTCCAGCAGCTGAAGTAGTTTGAGGATATTTAGTTATCCTATACAATTTATCCCAGGGTTAGTAATTCCTGTAGAATTTTTGGAAGGAGTTCTTTTGTGCTGCTATTGTTAAAGGCAGTTAATGAAGGTAACCAGGTCAGCTACGCTGAACAATCTATTCTTTCTCTTGCCAAATACAAGAATAATTTCTCCCTTTCCTGTTTACCTACCTCCCTGTTTTCTGTGATAATACACATGGAAGAGGAACAAATATTAAGTTGTTTCTATTTTTCTAAATGCCTATGTTGATTACCATTTCTGCAGCATGAGAGGGTATTTCTAGATTCAGGATGCTCTTGCATTGTATAGTCTTCAAAGAGACTTTAGTAAAACGCTATGTAAATATGAGAAATAGCAAAGACATGATATTTTACAAGATTTATAGTTATTTTTCCTTGTAAGCACTGTATTAAAAACGCAACAAATGGGAACAAGGAGCTTAAATTGAGTAACATCTTCCTCTCAATCTTGATCTGTTATTTTAAGGGGAACTTTTCTAGGCTCCTGAGATAATAGCTTTGTGTCATAATGAATTGTAGGCTTATATATAAATTCAAATTCTTTGTTGTCAGGTAGTGTTCAGAATTTAGCTTCTCATTTGTCTACTTTATTAAGTGGTCCTAAAAAACATCTTTCTTTACTAGATTAGCATTGCTTTTTGTGTTAAACTGTCAGTTGTTTTATCAAAATACAAATTAGTAAAAAAATAGCTTGTGTATTAAAAAACTTGGTTATTATGTTGTGATGATACATGCAATGTCTTCAGAATAGTTATTTCTTACTGCAGTTTTTAAACAAGCATGCAACTGTCAGTTGTCAGCTTAGTGAAGCCCGGCAGAAACAAGAAGAGGGACACAGATAATGTAATGCACCATTTTTTCTGTAGTGTAAAATAAACACTTGAGCTGTGAGGAGTGCAAATGTTTTTCCTGAGGTGTAGTTGGCACTGCTAATCTTTCTTTTAAAATGCTGACAGCTAGTGAGTTATAGAGTGAGTTGGTATGTGTTAAAAACAAAACAAGTAATAGCAGTGTGAGTAAAATTGTCTGCTGTGGGAAGAAGCAGCAAAGAGGAGGATAAATCATATTATTAACTCAAAGCATTAAAAATCCTCTGGACTAAGAACTGATATGTTAAGAAAGGAAGTGTGTGTGTTTTCCAGATTTTCAGGTTGCAAAGTTTGTGGGATCAGGTTTTTTTACTGGCAGTTATGGCAGCTAGAAACATACTGGGGAAAAAAAAATAAAAGAAAACCAGCATTCAGACTTTCTCAAGTGCTTTCGTAACTGCGACTTTAAAAATAAGCATTAGATATTGTGAAAATAAAAATGTGAGCACTGGAAAGGGGATTAATGACTTGCTCCCACACCACACACTGAATTCCACAGCTGCCACCCCAATAATCTCTGTTCTTCTTAGCACACTGCAGATTCAGCTCTTTTTTTTTTTTTTTTTTTTTTCTCAGCTCGTTTTCTCTCTTGGGTAAAAGAGTCAGAAGGAATGGGAGAGTAGTAATTTAACTCTGTGAGAAAGACTTTTGGGGAAATTGAGTTGGCAAGACTTGCTAAATTCCATGTGTCATAGTCATAGGTAAGGAGCGGAGTGCAGAAGATTGAAAAAGATGGATCTGCAAGGTAGGACTGAGGAATTCAGCAAGTGCTTTTCTACGCATCTGCAGTACGTGTTCTGTTGAACTTCACTCGTGGTTGGTTTTGGAGCTTACTTGTGTGGAGTAACAAAAATGTCCTTGGTGGCTGCCAGATGCCGTGAAAGCTGTCAGAAGTGTTCTTATAGAGCCTCTATCTTGCAGGATGAGCTTTACATGCTGCTGTTTCTAGTCAGTGTTGTAGACTTTTGCCCATCGCCAGAAATCTTTTAACAAGATGCTGTTCCCCTTTCTGAGATCATTATAATCTCTAAGCTTCTCAGATAAGCTGTATAAAGGATGACTTTCTCAGGCTGTGGTTAATGTTGTAAGTCATGAGGAGACCATGCTTGTGGAACAGGGAGGTTGCTTAAATAGGGCAGTAGCTTCTGTCAGTAAGTCAGGCACTACCTGAGCTGAGGTGGCCTTTTGGGACTCTGCCAGCTTCCGTGTCATCTTTTATCAGTGCACAGTTACGACTCTATTTTCAATCCTAACTGCACAAACACAGGGTGTGATACTAAAATTTGCACAGAAGAAGTCTTGTGCCTGTTGTGTAGAAAAGTCCCTTTATACTTCACTGTAGCCTGCTTTTTTGATTAGGAAACATTTGTTCAGTATCTGACATCACTGGATGCAGCAGTTGCCTATGCAGCAAAAGAATAATCACATTGGGTCACATGAAAGGTTCATCCAGCCTACAGTCCATACTTGGCAGTGGTGAAAATCAAATGCCTAGAGAACAGTAAAAACAGAGCAAGTATATACTTCCCGTGTATACTTACCAAACCTCCAGCTCTTTCCAATTTGGAAACTTCCTCAGCCAGCTCTGGTCCTCTGTGTATGAAATGAATCTCAGTGGATTTCTTTTCCATGAAATTCTACAGTCTCCCTTCTACCCCATATAAACTTCTAACATCTTAAACATCCATTGGCAGGGAGTTGCTGTAGCAACTACCCATTGCACAAAGAATTCCTTTTGCTTGTTTTGAATTGGCCTTTACTATTGTTATTTGATTCCCTCTGGTTCTTATATTGAAAAGTTGGTGAATATTTAATCCCTAGTCATTCATTTCACACCACTCCTGACTTTCTGGACCTTTATCATATCCTCTTTGAGTGTTCTTTCTTTTCCAAGCAAGGCTGAAGAGTCCTTGCTTACTTAGTCCTTTCTGATGTAGAGACTATTCTATACCACTGTGCATCCATGTTGCTTTTCTCAGAACTTTACGGTCCTGTATCCTGTGTCTTTTTTTGAGATGAGGAAGCCAGAACATGGCAGTTAAGATGTGGCCATATCATAGATTTGCGTGTCTGCGTAAGTTTATTTCCCAGTAATAGCCCAAATTTTATTTGCTTTCTTGACCTCTTGTAATCATTAAACCCCCATGAGAAATCTGTCATTAACCCCAAGATTGCTCTCCAAGTGGTTATGGTTGCTTCAAAAGCTGTAATTTTATACTTGAAGGTATTATTGTTCTGTGTTTTTCCACATCCATCATTTCATGTTTATCTGCATTTAAATTTCATCTGCTATTTTATTACCAGTTGGCTACAAACCCTTTTTCTGCTCTTCAGCCAGCCTTCATCTTTGCTGCTTTGCGTATCTTAGTGTCACTAGCAAACTCTTCCAGCACAGAACTCCGTGGAGAACCACTGGTCATCTTCCACCATTACAGGACCTGCTGATTACTCTATTTTCCATACCCTAATCGTTTATCTATACCAGGACATTCTCCCTTACAGCACGACTGCTTAGTTTCACTAGGATTTTGGTGAGTGACACTGTCAAAAGTCTCCTGGAAAGCCACATGGATTATATCAGTTGGGTCTCCTTTACACATGTTTGTTGATCCCTTCAAAGAACTCAAGAATTGGGTAAGTTAGGACTTAGGAGTCTTCAAACTGATTGCATTTATGCAACTGTCCACTAATTTTAGTGTTCTTTTTTATGGTTTCTTCTAATTTATCTGGTACAGACAGGCTTGAAACTCACTTGGATATTTTTCTAGTAATAGATTTCACATTTGTTACCCTTCCAGTCCTTGGGTGTCAAGGCAGTTTTGAGAGGTCGCACATCACTGTAAGTAATTAAGCGATTTAATTAATTAATTCTTTTAGAACTGTTGGGTGATTACCCTGTCCTGGTGATTTGTTGCTGTTTGTTTTGTCAGTTTGTTCCTTAAAATTGTTTTTGATCACTTCAGTTTTGGACAGATCCTCTGATGAATCTTCAGTGGAGAAGGCTGTAGCATTGAGATCTCCCCAGCTGCTTTCACAGTGGGCATGAATCAATGCAAAGAACTCATTTAGCTT